TCCCAGTTCGCCAACTGCAGCCACCCTCAGCAATCATGGGGCGCTCATGGATACCACACGTGGTAGACTGGCAGTTTCAGCACTCATTTGCTTCTCCTTTAAGGTTGTTTTCCACCCTTCTTCCCCCCTCCCCATATACACAATTCCCATTCCTATGTCCCCTTAATACTTCAAAAGCCGTTGGAACCAACAGGATCCTCAGGGACCGGATGGGCAGATATCTGCAGAAAGGCACAGACTTAGTAGGAGAAGGTCCATCCAGCTGCTCCATCCAGAGATTTCCAGGTGGAAGGGAACTTGGGGTCCTGGGCTTTGGGGAGCTCTGGTGAATTCTGTCATGTTGATATGAAGTCCTTGCAGGATTTTCTTCTGGAAAGAAAGAAGCAAAAAGTAGTGGGATGTAGGCTAAAAGGTGACAGTAGTTAAGAGAAGACATAAAAGTATGTTCTCATCTAATGCAACATGCTACTGATTAATGTCCTTACTTGTGTACAGCTTTTCTGCAGAGGATGGAGAAATCTGGGTACCCAAGAGGGCAAGGGCTTGGGCAGTTGGCCTATATCTGCTTTGGCAAACTTCTTGATGGAGGGACCATCTGGGGACAAGATGGATATGTTGTCTGCTAGATAGGGAGCCTGGCATTTTCTCCACTGATCTTCTCAACATCTCTTGGTTCCTGCTGGAATCTATAAAGGAAAGAAAATTGTTTCTGGGCCAGAGGTTAGTACAGAGGGTAGGGAGCTTGCGTTGCATATGACCAACCCAGGTTCAATTTCCTGCATCCCATACAGTTCCCCGAGCACCAGCAGGAGTAATTTCTGAGTACATGGCTAGGAGTAACCCCTAAGAATTGCTAGGTATGGCCCAAACCCAAACTCCCAAAAAACAGAATTACTTCAAACTCAACTTCTCTAAGAAGGAAAGTTCATTTGTGGTGCCAGGGATCTAACCCAGGGTCTCATATATGCAAGACAAGTACTTTAATGCTAAGTTACATCATCAGCCCCTCAAGACCCCCATTTTGACTGAAGGAAATCCTGTTTGCTATGTTGATTTATAATTGCTTGATCATTTTCTGATAACAGCATCACAATGAAACATGACTCATACAGAGGAAACAGCCCTATGCTCACCTCAAATTCTGAATCAGTGCATTTTCCCTCACCATATGTGTTCACAAGGTACTTCTTAATAAACATTCACCTTCATCGGGTTTCTTAGATAACTCTAGTCATGTTACCAGTGAGCATAAATCTGTAATTTCAAGTCTTCATGGTCAGTAGTCTAAAGATGGCCATGAGTTTGAGTATTATTGGTTTGCTCAGTAACTGCGAGCCTAATGGTCAGGAATTTATCACAGAAGCTAGTAGCTACTTGAGACACAGGGTGATTTCTAGGTGATCCAAATACCAATCAGCTTGAGGAGAAACTACCAGCTATTTGCTAAAAATGTGATTCCTGGGACTCTCCTTAGAAATTGAATCTCTGGATTGTGCTTAGGACACGTGTATTTATAAATAGCGAGTTGGATGGCCAATCGCCATCAGTTGGATCACTGACTTTGTTTTCCATTTATTCACTTTCTTGCAATAATTATAGTTTCCCCCTAGCCTTGGTAATGTGTTAATTTGTAACAGTAAGTTAATCTGGTGACAACAACCCAACATCATTGTCAACTAATTAATGTAGATCAGAAAAAGAGTTAGAAAGGCATTGATAAACTATAAATATACATTTATCTATTACTCAGACTCCTTCTGAGACCATCCAGGATAGTATATAAATCTTTAAAGCTATTGATATCGGCTTACACAATTTTAACTTGCTTGTCCAATTCACAGAGCGCTCTCATAAATCAAAGGTGAGGTCTCCCATTGAGTTATTTCCCATTGCATGGGAGAATGCTATAACTTGAACCAGCGCCTGGGATAACAAAGCCTGCTTCTGCCACTGACTTTGTGTCTTAGTTTCATGACAGCCTACTGGATGGGTGGGGAGGGGGCCCAGGGAGAGTGGAGCTGCTTGATGGGACACTGGGTGAGCAGGGAGCAGGAGAGAAACCAGTCAGTGGGAGAAGCTTGAGTTGGCTCTCGTCACTAATAGACTAGTCCTGGGGCAACAAGGTGATGATGTTTCTCCTGATTTGAACCACTCAAATCTCATGAACCATTAGCACCTCCAGTTCACGAAATGGATCCCAGAAGCTTAAAGAGTTGACAAACCTTTTTTTTTGGTCTAGGTAGTCAGTCTGCACCTAAATATCAACTATTTTCCTTCTTTGCTTCTTCCCTTAAAATTTATATATATCCAGTACATTTAATTGAGAAAAGTATGTTTTTTATTATGCTGTATTTTCTTTTTCTTTTTTAATTATTTATATTTTCAATTATTAATAAAATGTACAAAATAAAGTTTCATTGCTGGTCTTTAAAAAAAAAGAGTTGACAAACCTAAATAACAATTCCTCCTCTTCCTCCTGCAAGATCAAGACTAGGATTTGCTGCCCTTGGTTTTCAAGGAGACATAGATAGTAGTTGATGAGTTTTTTTATAAGGTGTGTACAGATCTTAAACATAGACATATTTTCTTGTAAAAGAACCCTTGCATATTCAGGGTTCCAAATTTACCTGCTAGGTAGCTTCCAAATACACACACAGGGAAATTAAGGAGATAGACATCTGTGAAGAGTTTAAAACTAGTGAAAGAAAAAGAAACATAAGACAAATGATCATTTCTCAGGTCAATATCACTTACCTGCAGTTTAGTCACTTGATCACTTGACTTCCTGTTAATTGTTGATTTACTCAAGCGGGTACCAGTAACGTCTCCATTTGTCCCTGTCGTGTGCTAGTGTAGCCCAATGGCATCTGTTCGTTCTAGGAACACGAAGCGCCTCAAACCAATCGTTCATGATCTTGATGAAGAAGTCTGACCATCTGGTAGGTGGGTGGCCATGCGGTCTTTTAACATCCTGTGGAATCCAGTCAGTAACAGCTCTAGTCCAGTGGTTGTCTCTAAATCTCATTACGTGACCAGCCCATCTGATTTTTGATGCCTTGGCAAACAAGACAGCATCCCTGATTCTTGATCGTTGACGGAGGTCAAAACTCCGAATTCTTTCTCTCATTTGAGTGAGTTTAGTTGGTCAAAGAAAATATGCCTTAAGAAAACCAAAAAAATCTTGTATCAAATCAAACCAGCTAGACCTCTGTAGAAATTAAATTTTATTAAGTAGTGTTCAAAATGGATTTCAGGACTGGAGCAATAGCACAGCTGGTATGGCATTTGCCTTGCAAGCGGCCGACCTGGGTTCAATTCCCAGTATCCCATATGGTCTCCTGAGCAGTGCCAGGGGTAATTCCTGAGTGTAGAGCCAGGAGTAACCCCTGTGCATCGCCGGGTGTGACCCAAAAAGCAAAACAAAATGGATTTCAAAGTTCACCATGACTTGACTTTATTACCCATATCCCTGCTCTGTCACTGTCACTGACCCCCGTTGTTCATCAATTTTCTCGAGTGGGCCCAATAACGTCTCCATTGTGAGACTCGTTGTTACTGTGTTTGGCATACCAAATACATCACGGGTAGCTTGCCAGGCTCTGCCGTGCGGGCAAGATACTCTCGGTAGCTTGCCAGGCTCTCCGAAAGGGAAGAAGGAATCGAACTCGGGTCGGCCATGTTGGCTGCGTGCAAGGCAAACGCCCTACCCGCTGTGCTATCGCTCCAGCCCAATATCCCTGCTCTAATTAAAAGAATTCCTAGGGCCGGAGCAATAGTACAGTGGATAGGGTGCTTGCCTTGCATGCGTCCGACCTGGGTTCAATCCCTGGCACCCCATATGGTCCCCCAAACATTACCAGAATTTATCTCTCATTGCAGAGCTAGGACTAAGGCCTAAGCATTGCTGGGTGTGGCCCAAAATGCAAAAGTAAATAAATAAAAGATTGTCTACATCAGGTAGGCAAGTTTTGCTTTTTGCAGAGTTGCTCTCTTAAAATTCTCAAATGGTTGAGTTTTTATAGGGACTGTCAATGATTTCCATTTATTTTACAACTCTTTTCCCAGCTACTCCTGCATTTACATTCATGGTCATGCTAATCCTCATCAAGTCTGGTTCCAACTATTACAGTGATGGCTCCTTCTTCTCCCAGTCTCTACCCTATAGTATCTACCAGTTCTCTGTCCTCAGGTGTATCACACTCACCCAGATCTTGCACCTTACTCCCAAGCTCTGGCGCCTTTAGTGGCTCCCTCTACCCACAATGTGCCCCAGTCCTCTCTTCATGGCCCTTCTTCTGTCTTTCCATCATATCTGACCCTTGCCATTATAAATCACATTATTTTATATAGTACTTTATGACTTGTCAGTGAATTTATAGAAAATTAACTTTGTGACTTCTATGAGAATAAAGCTTTTTTTTCTTCTGGGGTAACACCCAGTGATGCTCAGGGGTTGCTCCTGGCTCTGAACTAAGGAATTACTCCTTGCAGTGCTAGGGGGACCCCATGGGATGCCGGGGATCAAACCTGGGTTGACTGCATGCAAGAAAAATGCCCTCTCTGCTGTATCTCTCTGGCCCCAGTCACGCTGAGCTCTTAGGGGGTCATCAGCTACATTGAGATAGTTCTAGGAAAGAAGATTAAGGCTGCTATATGCAAGCCACAGTCCTCCATGCCTTGAGTCTGGACACACAGATCTCTCAGGAACACCTCCTGGCTCTTCTCTGCCTGGGGAATGCCAAGGCTCAGATCACACATTAAGTCTCTCATAGCCTTCTCCCAAACATGAATCATTGCCCTTTCCCCCCTTGCCACTCTCAGGCATCCTCTCTAGGACTTATTCTGTGGACAGACTGTGCATACCATAAGAATCACTGTCACTTTCATCCCGTTAATCATTGATTACTTGAGCGGGCACCAGTAGTGTCTCCATTTGTTCCAGCCCTGAGATTTTAGCATCATAAACTTTATGCTCTCTCTCCGCGGACACAGCATGCCAGCTAGATGTCCTTGGGCATAATGGTGACGCGCTTGGCAGGGAATGCACAGAGGTTGGTGTCCTTGAAGAGGCCCACCAGGTAGTCCTCGCACACTTCCTGCAGCACCATGACAGCCGAGCTCTGGAAGTGCAGGTCAGTCTTGAAGTCCTGTGCGATCTCACACACCAGCCGCTGGAATGGAAGCTGGTGGATCTTGAGTAGCACCATGGTGTCGCGCTGGTAGTGGTGCGGCTTCCTCACGCCACCTGTGGCTGGCGTGCTCTTGTGGGTCGCCTTTGTGGCCAGCTGCTCATGGGGCATCTTCCCACCCATTGACTTGTGCACTATCTGCTTAGTACGAGCCCTCTTGTTCTTCCCAACTCCACTGGAGACTCCTTCAGGGTTAGGGAAATGAGACCCATTTTAGCTACTGTTGTTGGCATATTTGGTACATCATGGGTGGCTTTCCAGGCTTTGCCATGCGGGTTGGATACCTCAGTAGCTTTCCGGGCTCTCCAGGGGGGGAGGATGGAGGCTTTGGGGGCGATCTCTAATTGTAAGAATAGTGGTGGGATTTTATTCTCCAGACCCAGAATATGTCCAGTTTGGGAATTGATGGTCTAAATTTGAGTTGCATCACAAGTTCCACTCTGGGCCTCAAAGGAAGTATTGCTCCTTCTGCTGTGTATTTTCATGCTTTCCATAACTTCTCAGAAGAGGAGATCTCTCAGTCACACTCTAACCATGTTAGGTGAACTCAATTCCCACCGAAAGTTATGCTAACTCTTCAACTGACAGGTGGCAGAAGCAGGGCTAGGATTTAGTTTTTAAAATGTCAGTCCTGGGGTTTTGGTTTTTTTTTAAATTTATGTATTATTAGTTTGCTGTTATATTTCACAGTGAAACAAAGAATACCTTGCCACACTAAAGATGTGTCTCTGCATACATAGATTGATATTCTATCTCTTAGCTATTGTACTTGGTGCTGCAGTGAATGCTGATGTACATACGTCCCTTGGAAATGTGTCTTTGTGTTCTGGGGTTAGATACCCAAGAGAGGAATTACTGGTCAGATGGAAGTTCAATTCTTAGTTTACTGAGTAATCTCTGAACTGGAGGATGCTATATTAAGTCAAAGAAGCCAGAAGAAGAAGGAAAAACACAGAATGATATCACTTGTGTGTCATGTGTAGAATAATTGGATTGCGGAATGTAAGGTCTTAAGGGGGGGAGGTAACTCTATGACCCTTTGCTCTGGAATATAGGAAGGAGAAGAACAGAGAGGGAATGAAATTGAGAGGTGAGGAAGAAGTGGATGGCAAATAAAAAGGGGCAGGGTTCAAGAGTCAAGGTACATGGGTGGTAGAGAGCAGTGGAAAAGCTCTACATCCAAATTGCAGAGTCAACTGTACTAAAAACAGGAGGCTCCAAACCTTGACAGCTAAACTTCAGGTGTGCCTATCAAAGAGGTGAGCTGGGGAAGGGAACCCAGGGACAAGGGTGGAGGAAAGTTGATGCTGGTGGTGGGGTTGATGCCAGAACACCATATGACCAAATTTCAACTGTGAAGAACTTTGTAAGTCATGGTGCCTTCATAAAGATAAATAAACAAAGACTTTTTCTTTTTTCTTTTTGGGTCACACCCTGCAATGCACAGGTGTTACTCCTGGCTCTGCACTCAGTAATTATTCCTGGCAGTGCTCAGGGGACCATATAGGATGCTGGGAATTGAACCCGGGTCAGCCGCGTGCAAGGCAAACGCCATACCCACTGTGCTATCATTCCAGCCCAATAAAGACATTTTTTAAAGGAGCTTCTGGGAGCTAATGGAGTTCAACCATCGCTGCAACTTATTTAGTTGCTGCGGGTCATCCCTGTCAGCAACTGAATGGCACCCCAGGTAGATCAACACGCTGCTGCATCCTCACCCTGCCACTTTTCCTGGGGTTCACTTAACAAATGGGCTGAGAAGCAGCCATTCCAGTGCACTTCTTCACCCAAGCTGGAGAGAATACATGTATGAAGTGCTCTGCACCAGGGCACAGGACTGCGTTATAGGCTTTCTGTGCCCACTGTTCTCATCTAATTGTTGTTGTTTTTTTTTTAGCTTATTGGGTCACACCCAGTGATGCACAGGGGTTACTCCTGGCTCATGCACTCAGGAATTACTTCTGACGGTGCTCGGGGTCACCGTATGGAATGCTTGGAATCTAACCTGGGTCGGCCGCATGCAAGGCAAATGCCTAACCGCTGTGCTATCACCCCAGCCCCTCTTATCTAATTGTTACCTCGACATTTGGAAGATTGAAAGAACCAGGGTGACTTCAGGAAATGTGGGGGTGGCACTCTAGCGCGTAATTCTTTCTCCTACCCCACGTGCCTTTGGCAATGCCTTCCTCCCTAGCCTTGCTTTACCTGCGGGCCACTGTGTGGTTGCTGTCGCCCTGTCGATTTTACTGTCGGAAGAAAGGCTCTTGCCTTGGCCATATGTGAAGCTGCAGCTAGCTGGAGTGTTTAAAATAGCCGGATTCTGGTCAGCCTGGTTTGAGTCATTGCCCAAACTCTTGAATCAATTACTGTAGCTGAGCAGGCCCGGGGGTGGGGAGAGGGTGTTGGGATTCGGATTTGTCACCCCCACTAAAGCCTGTGTGGACTAGGGGCGGGAGTCTGTTACTAGAAGGAAAGGAGGAAGTGCACCTGGGAGGAAACGAGCCTGTCAAGCCCCATGAGAGCTTCGAGGTCACAAGGAGCTTTTGTAACTTAACTAAGGTCACCAGCTCGAAGTATCAGAATTGGAGCCAACTTTGCCAAGGCCCAGAGGCGACATTTCGCACTTGTGGCTAAGTGCTGACCATGGAAGTTGCATCAAATGTCTGTCGTCTGGCTCTTGGGGCCTCGTTCGTTCAGGCCATCAGAACCAAGTCCCTTTCTCCTTGAGGACAGAGCTCATCAGTTTCGGGATGTGGCTTGGCTCATTGGGGTCTGAAAAATGTACCCGGAGGACCCAGTTCTTTCAAAGAGCCGCAGCCGCCAGATGGGCAAGTGGTAGAGCCAGCATCAGCCCGAGCCCCTGCACGGTGGTGACTAGCAGACAAAGACGCCAGGCGGCCCTTTGCCTGCAGGGCCCCCAGAGCAGCTCTGCACGAGGAAGAAGGGGCCTCCAGCTTTCCTGGCCCTTCGCAGATCTTCTAACAAGACTGCCTTCCTTTTCATTTTGCCCACAGCCTGGCTCCTGCTGGGCTGCCAAGCAAAGCTATCCCCGATGTTATCACGGCTCACACCCCCTCTGGCCATCATTAAGTGGCAGCCTGTGTTCAGTTGCATGTTCCTTAGCAACCACCATACATCATGTCCTCTCCTTTCATTTGCCTCTTCCTTCTTCAACCTAGGGGGCAAATTGCCTAAGAAATGAACCTCTGCCTTCTCAGATTTCTGAGCCATGGAAACCAGAAAATTGACAGCCTCTCAAAATGACCAATTTCAGGGGCCGGAGGTAGGGTGAGGAGGGAATCCTTTCCTACATGTTGGCAGTGGCTTTGCAAAGCACTGTGATTTATAGCCCGTGTCGACTCATCTTTAGGAAAATTGATTTAAACTGCAGCGTTTCATAAGAGCAAACATGTCTACTGTGTTGTAACTCGCTCAAGTGCTAGACATGCGTTTGAGCCTGAGCATCGCAGGCCATGAAGACTGTCTTCTTCCAAGTTTTTTTTTTCCATGACAACCAGTCCACCTATTCCTTTTTTGGATGATACGTACTCAGTAGGGCCCGTTTGGGAGGAGGCATGGGGACAGATGCTGAATTTCTTGTGGCCTGCCAAGTGCTTGTCTCTCTTCCACGTCCATGTGGATAAATAACTCCACACCCCCGACCCCAAGTACAGCCGTTAGGCTCCTGGAACATGGAACAAAGACAGAATTCTTTGTCTTACGAAGCTTGGAATCTTGGCTTTAATTTCTATTAATCTGGTTTTGTTTGCTTGCTTTTATTTTGCATTTCTAATGCTGCTGTTTCATATTTATCTTTGGCTTATGTGTTCTCCCCCCCATCACCACCACATCTCCGTAATTTAATCTCATTTTGTTTTCTGTTTTCGGCCGTAGCCATTCCAATGGTTCATACCTACACACATTTGAGAAGCTGCAAAATAGTTTCTCAGACGGTGCTTCCAATGCAGATCATAAAAACGGTCACACAGCCCTCGAATCAGCCGCTGGAACGCATCATGTTCCTCCTAAGCCACAGTGGTATTCTTCTGTCTAGACACAGTCTGTTCTCTAGAACACATGACTGTAATTGAATATGTCAGTTTGCAAGGAAGACTTGCTTCTAATAAGCTTTTAATTCCAAGTAACAAAATTGAGAAAAATGCAGAGCCAGTATATTGTTTAAAGGAAAGCTTTGGGAATGGATCTTTTTGGCTTTGCTCTTCTAAACTGTTGTGTAACCTTTCCCCTGAAGAGAATCTGAGTAGACCAAAAAAAGTCAAGTTCACCCATTTTGTTTGAATGCCCCCCCAAAACGTTTATCTGTAGACAAAATACCCAAATACTCTCAGTTTTAATGCATGTGATAGATTGGAGTTAACGCATTTGTCATAGACACTGCCAAAATCAACCAATTGTTCTAATGACTAGAGATTTGAAATACCAACAGGGCCACTTATGCTGGGATGGGGACATGAAAATTTCTTAGATTTGCGAAGGAAATAAATCTAATTTTTCTACTGAGGATAATTTGTAATTATATAAAGAAATCAAGAGATCAGAGATGAAGTCTCTTGCCCTCTAGATGTTTTAACCACAAGCAATTTGTCTTCTACCATTCAGAGTGTTCCTAAAGCACTAACAAAGAAAAATCCTAATAAGGTATGCTAGAAAAATTGCCTTTCTCTGCTCTTTGAGAAAAGTAGTCTTTAATTCAATTGGTTAAATTCTGTCTTCTGCACTCAGTGCAAATTGGGGATCTCAGCACAGGGAACCCAGAGCTCCTCTCCTGGCGATTCTCGGCCAACCCAGCCAGCAGTTCAAGGTGAGAGCCCGGGATGCACTGCTGCTCCAACCCTGCAGTGCTCTGGGACTTCCGGGTCTGTACCCTGAGGTACTAGGGGAGGAGAGAAGGGGACAGCCCCAGGAGCTTTGTGTTTGTTTGGTTTGGAGGCCATACCAGGTGATGCTCTGGGCTTATTCCTGGCTCTGAGCTTAGAGATCACTCCTGACAGACTCAGGGGCCATCTGGGACTTCAGGCACCAAACCTAGGGCAGCTGTGTTTGTGCATGGCAAGCGCCCCACTGTCCTATCTCTCTGGCACCCCAGGATGTTTCTTAATGTTGTGTGCTCTTTCGAAGACCCTTAGGTTGATCCTTTAGCCCCATATGCATTTTACTCCATGCT